GTCCACCTGGTGACATGAAAGGTCATATGAGATTATTTAACGTCGATGTAGCGGAGAGGCTAGATAAACGAGTGTGACGGATGTAACCATCTCCGTATCATGTTTATGAAGCTGATGGCATATAAGGTCATTTGTCAACGTGCCTGGTCTCAGTTTGTTACAATTACATTGTCAAGTGTCGAAGAGGCTATATTTAATGTATACAGTAGCTAATCGATCTTAAGTATCTTTGGATGTATGACACACTGTTTCTAACCACAGAACAGCATTGTACTGTCTACATAGACCCGGTTAGCACTGAATTTTTGTCATTGAATGGTTTATAAATTTGACCTTGTTTGACCTCAGGTAACATCTTGGTCATCCTTAAATTGCATTTTTGTGCCCGAAATACTTTTTACACAGCTGCGCCTAATGAAATAAGGTACGTACCAATCACATTGTGAAAAATATCGTTCTTGTGCTTCATTGTGGTGAACAAATCTCCGCAACACAGGTTTTGGACCACGCGCCACGAAAATGCCAGAGGCTGTAAATCCGAAACCACTTAAATGAGAGCTTGAAACCTCATTGGCATATTTAACGCCGCTGGCAGCCCCGATGACTCATTTTTACCAAAATCCGAGAGGTGAGGGTATAAAATTAACCCTTCCTCCTGTCAGTTTGCCGCGGAATGCCCTGTCTAGGATAAACGCTGCGCCAAATAGCGTTCGCGGTGCTGGGCTCGCGGGTATAATACGCGTTTCATAGACCGTTGGGTCGAGTGGCCCACCCCGAGGGCACAGTCTCGTTCCAGGTGGTCGGAGCAGTCCTTTTACCCCCGGGCCAGGGAACTCGAGATAGGTCCCCTGTTTGCATGCGCACTGCGTGCGTGCGAGGTGCGCGCACTGCGTGCGCCTCGCCAGCAAGCACGTTGTGAAGGCCGTCTCGCAAACGTGACGGAAATGGAAGTAATTGTGGTGGCCATGAGGTGGTCACCGCTCCTGAACGTGAAACGCAGCAGAAAAACGGCCAGCAAAAAGTATCAGATACCTCTGTTGCCTAACGGATATAGATTCCTACAAGATATGACCACTGTCGATTGGACCGCCCTCTGGAACGCACCGATCGGACGCCTTTTCGCTCGATGGGTACTTGGATGCGGTCCTGGTCATCTTCAAACCTCAGCTTGACAATCGCGTCACAAAGCGTGCAGTCCAGATACGCAGCCCGACCCCGCCTGTGGCGGACGCGACTTAGGAGATAATGGCACGGAACTGAGCCCTTCGGCACACCGCCGCAGTGCACAGGCATCTGAACGGTCGCGGGTGGGCGTCGTCCGACGTAACCGCCGTGAAGGTATTACATGACGTATTGATAGCTGTGAGGTCCGGGAGCGTGCACCGCATTATCCGCAGCATCGTCGGTGGCAAGAGACCATCGCCAACGGAGCATCCAGAGGAATTGGAAGCCAGGTCCACGAATCATTTGTTATCATCGGAAGGAAGACCTTCGACATGGTGCTGGCAGCGATTCCGATGGATACGCGAGACCAGTCGCATGACACCAGTGCTGCGCGGACCCCTCCGCCTGTGGTCTGTTACTGCGCATTTACTGAAACGCGCTACAGAATCGACGAACACTAGCGGTGCTTGTCATTACAAAGGCACGACGTTCCATATTGTCAAGGTCAGCCGACCAGTTCTTATGCCAGTCTAGGTCCACATCGTCAACAGCTTTTTTGTTTCAAGGTTAGTACCTCTAAGGAGAAGAAATCATGACAACGTAGAGGCCAACTTGATCCGGCCACAGTCAGAAAACCAATCCCGCTCATTCCTGCTGTGCCTAGGATAGGAAATAAGCTGTTGCATGAGCAAATTACGGCGCACTTGACATGGCACGCCCGTCATATCTCTGAGTCAGCACGGTTTTCGCACACATTACTTGACTGATACCGCAATTCTGAGCATGTCGGATAAAGTATCCGAGCCATGAGCCTCAGCCGGTCAACGCTGCCACTTATTGCTGCTGGAAACACAGGGCTGCGGCGTGCTACACCCGGGATTTTGCGGCGTGTCACACCCGGGATTCTGTGGCGTGCTACACCCGGGAATTTTACGGCGTGTTACACTCGCAGCTTATGCTGGCAGCTTTTGCGGTACGCCGATGACTCCCATGTACTTGTAACGGTTACCTAGAAGAGATGGTGAAAGCCGTGAAGAAAGCCCTTGAATCGTTGCGTAAGCATCGTCATTATATGAGCCCGGAGAACCTCACCGAATTAAGAAACCAATTGCGTGCGATATATGGCATGAGTTTTACTGCATGACTGTTGAAGGCAATGTTGGGACATATTTTTCGGCTCAAACAATCGTGAACCTCCGTAAGTGCGGTCACATCAGAGCCGCCCGGAAGCAGTTGAGCGGAGCGTCGGAAGGCCCACTGAGCACCGAGCATGCGTCCTTGCGTATGATTGCGTGGCCTTAGTGAGCCAAATCACCTAGCGACGCCATTACTAGCTTCCCGCTTTGCGCACGCCATTGTCACCAGGCAACAGGCAACGAGGAAGGGTTTACTTGTCGCGTGCCTGAAATGAAACAGGTGAGCGTAGCTTTTCGTCCAGATGATTGGAAAGAGTGCCCCCTCCCCCCCCCCCCACGAGCGTAGCCGGATCGCAGTGCGCGTTACTTTTAAAAAAATGATGACAACATTTGGTAGTGATGAAAGCATTCTCATGGGAGAGCATCTGTTGGGATGCTCTTTTATCACGAATGCTCTCATCGTAGTGCTTGGCGATGGATGTACTGTAATTCCTGCAATAATGGGTTTGGGAGCAATGTATGCTTCGATTCGCTTCATTCAAATGCTTTTCCTTTGTTCATGCGAAACTTTTGCTGTTTCAAGAATGTGCATGTAAACATGTCGCAGAGGCCACACCTGTTGTGGAAATTCCGTTCTTGTGAACAGGCAAATGGATAGGAAGTTACAGCTGAGCCCCAAATGGCAGAATACGACCTGGTGCCATATTTCCGCAGGCAGGGGAAAACTGCGCTGCTTGTACTTCTCAAAACCGGTGTGTTTATGAGAAGCTGATACCAACCAGCAGGCTCCCATTCCTACCTCCTGTAAACACACACATATCAGCACAATCAGCTCTAGGCACACGTGCGGACTGTAGTCGCAAAATTCATGTAACTGATCATATACATATATATATATATATATATATATATGCATACATGCATACATACATATGCATATACATACATATACATACATACATACATACCTATATATATATATATATATATATATAGGTATGGGCTTGGGGTTGTGGTGGTGTTAAGTTGGGCTGTTTGGTGTGTGACGTGTGTGTTGGGGTTGTGGTGGTGTTACGTGGGGTTGTTTGGTGTGTGACGTTTGGGTTGGGGCTGTGGCGGTGTTACGTGGGGTTGTTTGGTATGTGACGTTTGGGTTGGGGCTGTGGCGGCGTTACGTGGGGTTGTTTGGTGTGTGACGTGTGGGTTGGGGCTGTGGCGGTGTTACGCGGGGTGGTTTGGTGTGTGACGTGTGACTTGCGTACGTCGTTATTTGAGGGTCAACGAAGAACAGCATTGTCCAAGTAAGTTAAGGTGGTGGTTGGCGTTCCAGCAGCAAAAACAAACTTGGAACAATATTGACCGCGGGTCACAAAGTTCATGAGCCACTTGCTCCACGCGTGTTGCTTTTGGTCGAAAGACTTTGACACGTCGATTGGCTTATTTTTGCAATCATAGCGAGGGCAGACTGTTTTTGAGCGCGTCAGCATCTTATCTTCACTGTATCAGCGTTTTAGAACCAACCTTTTACGTAGGCCCGCCATCCGGATTCACCGCAGTTCGTGAGATCTGTTCTCGCTTGTGTGGTGTCAGTCATAATGTTAGATCAGCCAGAACGGAATCCAGGACAGCCGTCTTAGTGGACGTGTCGACGAATTGCACCGGCAGCTTCTTCTCCCACTAACCAGAGGACGCCCGTGCCGTTTCGACATTCAAGCACAGCCCCTTAATTTTATGCAAAAAGTCCTCTATTGAGCGCCATACAGCGGGCGCTATTTGCGAGCACTGTTTATCATCACGTTTTAATAGTGGTATCATGGTGGGTACACTGACCCATCTCTCGCGCAGAAGACAGCACTGACACCCGATGTCGTCATTGGCAGCGGATTGCCCAACGAGCAATCGGCTTGGGGAAAAGTCGGAGACGGTTGGGGAAAGCTTAGAAAGCATGAAGTATTCGTAACCGGCTTGAGCTTTCAAGCTCTCCCCGATCATACTCCTGCCATCGCTTGGGGGACTGAGGATTTCACTGAGCCCCCGACCGTCAGATTTAAGGTTTGCGTGGGAAAGTCATTTTTCGGCATGTAGTCGCCATAGACTTGGGGGAACACGCGGTATTGCGTGACCGCCCGTTTGGGGAAAGGGTGGCAAATCTGGATCAGGATCAGGCATTTTTCAGCGCGTAGTCGACATAGGCAGCTCGGGGAATGCTCCTGGAACACTGTGTGGGAAGCACTGGGAACGGTCCGGAAAAGGCATGGAATTCCAACCAGTGTCTCACTTTCAGAGTTGACTCCAAGCATTCCCCAACCAGAACGTTGGGGAACGATCGGGATATCCCGGTTGGGATTGGACCGAAAATGGTGGCTAGGCGATGTCTGTGCAGTGGGCATGAAAACAAAGCATCCAGTCCGTAATGCGAGGCTAGATATTTTGAATAAACGCGTGTCCGTGCTCGGTGGTTGTGTAATATCGAGGCATAAAGCAGGCAGAAAACGCATGATTCATGTGTGTGAATCAAGGACATAGTTTGGCAGCATAATTTCGAGGCCTTAGCAAGGGACTAAACCTACCCTCAAAACACACAACTCGGGTCTCTCCCCACATTCCAACCACTTTCTTTTCAACGTTGATAATGCTGGAGCCCCCTATCCCACCTCTATTCTGCGCGCCGTGTCATCAAGCAGAAGATGTGTAACTGCTTCAGTCGAACCCGAAAGGCTGAAGTAACAGCGAGTTGTTCCGCTGCACCGTGTAACGAGCCAGCGAGTTGGATCGCTGGAACGCCAGCACCGGGCCGAAACCACAGGTCACTCTAACTGGGCCCCAACTCGGCGAGCCTTCCTTTGTTCAGGTCGACACGTGTCAAGTCTGCATACGGATAAGCCCACTGGCGACCAGCAGAACAGAATACAAGAGCTCATGGAAGCGTGCCAAAGTCACCGTCACATAATGGACAGCAGAAGCATAGCTGTACGTGCGAAGGTAGAGGTCGACGCTCCATGCGGAAGCCCCCCCCCCCCCCGCCCCCTCCCAACCGATAACGTCTTCGTGGTTCGGCCGCTGCAGCGATCCCATCATCTCATTTGCTGCTGTCTTTTGGGGAGCTGGCAAGATTGGTGCATGCTTTGCTGGAAGGCATAGGTGAATTAATCAGAGGGCAATCCGCGATGTATCGTCCGTCGCATCGTTCGTCGCATCGTTCGTCCCGCACTGCCCGATCTGTGTGCCTCCCCTCCCCCCCCCCCCTGCTCACCAGCCATCCTCCGCAATCCACGATGTATCGTCCGTCGCATCGTTCGTCCCGCACTGCCCGATCTGTGTGCCTCCGCTCCCCCCCCCCCCCCCCCTCCTCACCAGCCATCCTCCCTGACTGCGCCCATGCCAAATGACATGGATCACAACGTGACATGCATTTCTATGGAGCATGGCGTGACGGTGCGATGTGGATTTTTGCCTGACCTTTAACGGGGCCGCGAACAAAAGGCCGCGTTACCGCGCGACAGGCGCGTGTCCCTGTTTCTCATAAGTCGATGACCTTATTCTGCCCCACGCCCCCCCCCCTTGGACGAGTTTGTCAACAAGTGCAGGTTTTTGCGCGCTGACAGGGAGATGGAATGCGAGGAGTGGTATGGCTGGTCATGCAGTCAGTCATGCAGGCGCCGCGTGCGCCTCGTCATGATCAGGAACGCTCCGTTGCGCGTGGTTCTGTTGTTTTATATGCAGTCACGCGGGACATCAGAGGGTGGCACCAGTTGCCAGTCACTGCGACATGCGTTTCCGACGGAAAATAACAAGCAGCCAGCACGAGCCAGCTGCCATTCTCAGGACTACCTCCTTCAGACCCCAGTGCATCGTAGAATTTCCTGCCACCACATGAAATCATGAAGCTGAAGAAAATAACTGCAAGGACCGACTAATAAAACTAAAAAAAAAACTACTAAAACGCTTCACAAAATAAACAACCTTACGTAAGTTTTTCATTGCATTAGCAAGGGACCTTATTCGCATAGATAAGACAGTAGTATTAGCCTTGTTGCTGGGAGAAAGCGAGGGGAATCGAAATATAGTTGGGCTAATATTTCGGCAGCATGCATTCATCGAAACAGTGGCAGAAGTGAAAGGCATGTTGCCGAAATGTCAACCCAATCATATTTCCATTTTCCTAGTTTTCTCCGAGGAATAAGGCTAATACTACTGTCCTAACTAAACAAACTTGGTAGACAACTGAGACAGTGAAAAACAAGCTGAAAAGACTACTAAATACGGTTAAATCATGGACCCCTCCGACACCCTCAGTCACAGAAGCAGGATCACACACGCGCCGGGCGGCGCCGCGCAGGGGTCGGGCCTCGTTCATGCAATAACCTGCGCCCGCGCTCTGGGCGGAAGATCGCGGACTGAGGACCGAGCGTGGACTGAGGACCGAGCGTGGACTGAGGACTGAGCTTGGACCGGGGACCAAGCGTGGACTGAGGACCAAGCGTCAACTGAGGACCGAGCGTCGACTGAGGACCGAGCGTCGACTGATGACCGATCGTGGACTGAGAACCGAACGTGGACCGGGGACCAAGCGTGGACTGAGGACCAAACGTCGACTGAGGACCGATCGTGGACTGAGAACCGGGCGGTGCTGTGTGCGGGCCCCACGGTGATCACATTGTTCATTCGACTGGTGTGAAGGTCAGCTGGGGACCGCTAAATATAGCCGACCAGCGGACCCGAGGCTGTGAGGCCGGCCTGATGCGCGGCACGTACATTTCCTCAGTGGGCTCTGACGGAGAGGCCGAAGGCGGTGTCATCCGATAAACTACACCGGCCCGGCCCGGGCTCAGTGCGCATGTGGTCAGCTCTGCTTAAACGAGTAATTAGCCTGCGTCGCGACCTACATCACAAAAGGAGGAAAGCAAATATGGTCTACTTCACATAACCACATACCGAAGGCGACTAATGCCAAAATGTAGTCGATAATTGTATATTCTTGCATCTACCATTGACATGATGTGGTATAGACATATTGTGTAATAGTTCGTATGAATGCGGGAGCTATATATGCTCCGTGCCGTTTGGTTCCGCTAAACACACGCACCATTAACCGTCGTTCTACTGAGGGGAGACCTTAGGGATACCCACAATATTTTTAAAGATAGCATCTGAAGAGCTCGGAGTAAGGAAACAAAAATTTGGGAGCAAAATTGAAATAATCTTTACACATGTGGGCATTCGGCATCTTTGTGCTTCACCATTCATGATCTATGACCCCTTTATTGAGCTGATGTCGGTGTCAGTTTGCTGAAAAAGAAAGTGCTTGTTTCTTGCATTTAATGCACTCAAAATACATTTTTAGAGTTTATTCTGATATATATATATATATATATATATATATATATATATATAACACGCTGAAGGGCATTGCTACCACTCTAGCTGCTTTACCAAAATTAGGTCATCCAAGGTCAAGTTATGTCAAGCTTTGGCGTTTCTGACCAGGTCTTGTCTTTAAAATGTCATGTGGTATAACATGTAAGGACGAATATGCTGCGGTATTGGTGGGTCCTTCTTACGCTGTTTTCCTCATTCATCCAGCTTGTTTAATTCTTGATATAACTTAACGGGCTAATGCAGCGATTGCCTCCCCCTGTAAGATTACAGCGACCATTGTTCAATCACACCTCTCTGATGTCATTGGACCAGAGGTTTTCAGTTCCCTTCCCCGTGGCTCAGCTTGTTTAATCTTCGTGATCTGAGGGAATCTCTGAGCCTCTTTCTCCCCTCGCAGGACAAAAGTGAAAGTGTCGACGCGGGAAGGTTAACACTTTTGGTTTCGCACCAAATTTCTCAGGATGATTTTGCTTCTATCGAAAACCTTGAACATCTTTAAGTAAAAAGAAAGCGTCTGCTCCATCGATTCGCTTATATGCTAGAACGACCCAGCCGGCACAATAAGTTTCGAACCCTCATGTGGACTGGACAAGCCCTCGCATGTACTTCGAAGGAGCTTGAGTGTACGAAAGCATCGTTAGTGGAGTTAAAAGACTTCAAGAGCCAAATAATGAAAACACATCGTGAAATAATCCATCGAGCACATGCTGAGTGATGCAATGACATCGTATCGCGCAATTTTTCACAGGGTTATGCTGCTCTTACCTGTTGCCTGTACCGCATATCTGTCTTCTCCAGGCTTAATGGCATAAACACAGAATATCGTTAATAGAGTGTATTATTTGGTTTTTGAACGTCACGCTGCTCCTTGTAAATGCGTTTATTTATTTCAGTTGTTATACAACGCTGACGTGGATATAAAATGTCATACACCTTTTGAAGTATGCATCCCATAAGTTTTAGATGCATCTAATGTTTCTAATTTTTTACCCTTTGTATTCTCTCCACATTATCCATAAATGTGATTCCAATGCATTTACGTTGTAACTTAGCTTGGCGTTGCCAGTCTGGCATTTGAGGTGTTAACATCAATTAACCCGGCTGCAGGCTTCATCCAGAAGTGATGGCAACAGACATCTGTGGCCTTCACTATTCACTCCAGCGGCATGAAATCCACCTGTCAGCGTAATAAATAACGCGAAAAAAGTATGGGACACAAAACAACAGGGAACGCACTGTCGCGTCATGCTTCCAATGTCTCCCAAAAGATCCCTCGCTGCGCAGCCCGCACAAGCCAAAAAAGACCAATCGCTACAAGGCATCGCCAGTCTGTCCGATCTCTATAGCCCATCGCTGCTGCATTCATATCTCATCCCGGGTGACCTCGGATGCCCCGTCCCGTCACAAAGAGCGCCCGTCACCGTCGCGGCTTCCTCGTGGTAACAGCGAGTAACGAGGGTGGGGAGCCGATGTGGCTTAGCTTATCCCGGGCACGCGCCGGTACGCGGGACGAGACACGTAGGGCGCGGTGCCGCCTGCGACCTGTTGCCATGGAGTGTCACCGAATGAATCGGGGACGAGACGGCCGGCGCTGGGTGGACGATAGCACGGGTAGCGAACATTGGCTCCCGTTTGCACGATGACTGGTGATAGTACGAGCAGTTATCTGCTGTGGGATAGTGACCTTTTGTCAGTCTTGTGTACGCGTTGGGAGGCTATTAGCTTGTGCCTAAACCATCAAAAGTCTTCCTTTCTGCTCGCCGAGCCTCTTTGTGGTTCCCAGCATCAGATTATTCATTTGGGTGTTTCTTTACAGTCTTACATTAATTGGCTACGGACTTTTGCGCAGATCACGCAACTATTAAAAATTGCCGGATAAAAAGTCACGGAAAAAGTTTAATGGAAAAAGTCGACCGCAAATAGTCGAAAGGGATAGAAGTCAACGGGTATGAAAGGCAAAGGGAAAAAAGTCGAAGGACATGCATTCAAAGGGAATAAATGTAAGGACATCAATCACAGGGCTCAAAGTCAAAACGGAAAAAGTGTAAGTATAAAAGTAAAAATGAAAGAAGTCGACAGTCTTGCAAAGCGAATCTGAAAAGTCCAGTTACGCAAGGTAAAAAAGGATGGGAGTCGAAAGGTAAAACTTAAGAGGGATGAAATTCGGATTAAAAAATAATTCAAGGGACAAACAGTTCACATGGATAAAGTCGATGGAAAAGTTGAACAAGCAGGAGTCAAGAGGATTTAAGCCAGGCCAATTTTCAGAACTTGATGTTTGACATAAAAGTGAATGTCGCCGACTGCACTCAGATGTTCCGGTGAACCCAACGGTTTTCGCACGTCGCATCTCTGGCTCCCCTCACCCAGGTCTCTCGCCCTACTTCTGTCTAGAAACTGCAAAAAAACATATCAGTCTTCTCAGTCCCAGTCTCAGCCTCAGTCAGGGCTTTCTCAGTCAGCTGAGTCAGAAGGAAGTTTGTCCGGTAGACATGCACGCAGCCTAATCAGTTGGCAACTAGCTGAAAAACAATAGAGTCGCTTAAGTATGCTTTGTTGATTCAGCGTTTATGCTTGGGCGCGCGTATATTATGTTTTCCTTTCTAGGGCGTGACCAGGGAGGTAGTTTCCTATTCAGTTTAGTGGGCTCCCCTGGCGTGGGATCGGTTTCCACAACTTTGAGAAGAATATCTTTTTGTTGAAAATTTAAAAAACAGAAATCGTTTTCGAAAACTTTCTCTTGACAGGTATGGCCGGCGGCCAGTGGCAGCGTCCGCACTAAACGTCGGGTGATGTCATAGGGCAGGACGGACCGTGCCGAGCATTGCGACGCGTTAAACCTTCGCCACCATATTCTGCCACTGACCTGGAATGGCGCGATCGGATGGTGGGGGTCGGGGTTCACACAGCAAGCACTGCTTAGCATGAGCTCTAACCCCAGAAATGTATTCATTCAAGAACATTCACATACAATCTCTGTACAAGTGGGCTAACAGATTTATTTTCAATACAAAACTAGAGACGTTGCTTCCTATTCAGTTTGGTGCGGGGCCCGCTTAATATGGGTTTGGCTCCAACAACTTTGAGAAGAGTGTGGACCAAGCACAGGGAGGAGCCTGTTCGTTGTATTTTGGGAGCTAGATGGTGCCGACTTTCACCGCTCGGCCCCACCCCCTAACACATTTTGCAAAATTACTTCCCTGTCTCTGCGCCTGTACCCAGGTTTTTAATTAAAAATCAGCCAGAAATCTCTCGATAGCGTTTTGTTTTGTCTGCAAGTGATGATGGTGGGCAATCCGCCTCAAAAGGGCCACGAAAACACGGCGTAGGTAGAGTATGGTGTCAGAGAAATCTAACGGTGCCCGATTCAAAACGAATTCCAGGACCCACGGGTGGGTCCTGTGGATGGGAGTGGGTCCTGGAAAGGTCCGACGAGCTCATGGGTAGGGTAACTCAATCCAAATGCCAGGGGAACGCCGCGCAAGGATTTTCTCTGAATCGGGCTGCGATTTCAAAAATGACACAAAAAATGACTAAGGCTGCTCTTATGTGCTGATGACAAGCTTACCAGCAGTGGCGTAGCCAGGGGCGGGGCTAGGAAGCATAGCCAGGGAGCTGGTTCTTGGCCTTTATCGGGAGCGTTGAGCCCCTCCCTCCCCCCCCCCCCCTCCCCCTGCAACGTCCAGGAGGCGGTGACGGCCCGACTTGGGCCGAGGTCTTAGATAGTTGTAGCAGTTTAACCCGCACCCGGCCAAGGGTCTAAGACAACCACGCCCGGCCGAGAGAGAAAGTCAACTCCCTCCCCCTCCCCCCTCCCTGGCCGGACGCCAACTTCTTCCCCCCCCCCCATCCCCCGCTAGCTGGATCTCCAACTTCCAGACGCTGTATGAGAAATACAAAGATGCTGTTGTAAAAGTCGGGTCAAATCGTGAAAAACAAACACTAAATGTTGGACCTAAGGTCAAATGGAGGTCATCAGAGACCACGAAAGTTCAAAAAGTTTGTTTCGATAGATGCAGTTAAAATCGATGCCACAGACCTGTGAAGGTACGGTCCCGACTCCGGTCACGGCTCCGGTCAGGTCCCAGCTGCGGTCACGGTCCCAGCTGCGGTCAAGGTCGCGGATGCGGTCACGGTCCCAGCTGCGGTCACGGTCCCAGCTGCGGTCACGGTCACGGTTCCGGTCACGGTCCCAGCTGCGGTCAAGGTCGCGGCTGCGGTCACGGTCACGGCTCCGATCATGGCTCCGGTCACGGCTCCGATCATGGCTCTGGTCACGGTACCGGCTCCGGTCACGGTCACGGCTACGGTCACGGTCCCAGCTGCAGTCACGGTCCCAGCCGCGGTCGAGGTCGCGGCTACGGTCACGGTCCCAGCTGCGGTCAAGGTCGCAGCTGCGGTCACGGTCCCAGCTGCGGTCACGGCCCCAGCTGCGGTCACGGTCACGGCTCCGAGCATGGCTCCGGTCACGGCACCGGCTCCGGTCACGGTCACGGCTCCGGCCGCGGTCACGTCACACTCCGGCCGTCACAGCAGGGTGAATCTCCGGCGGCGCTGAACAGCCTTACGCTATTCCAGTGACGGATCCGGGGAGGACCCCTCTGCGTAATCTCTTGCTGTGTAGCTCTGCGTCTCCGCGTAACTGTCCGTGCGCGTGGAGACACAGTGTCATGTAACTGGCCGTGCGCGTGGAGCTTGCCGCCCAATATTCAGTGTAACTGGCCGTACACCTGGAGCTTACCGCCCAATATTCAGTGTAACTGGCCGTACACCTGGAGCTTACCGCCCAATATTCAGTGCAACTGGCCGTGCGCGTGGAGCTTGCCGCCCAATATTCAGTGTAACTGGCCGTACACCTGGAGCTTACCGCCCAATATTCAGTGTAACTGGCCGTGCGCGTGGAGCTTACCGCCCAATATTCAGTGTAACTGGCCGTACACCTGGAGCTTGCCGCCCAATATTCAACGTAACTGGCCGTACACCTGGAGCTTACCGCCCAATATTCAACGTAACTGGCCGTACATCTGGAGCTTACCGCCCAATATTCAACGTAACTGGCCGTACATCTGGAGTTTGCCGCCGACTATCCGATACTGAGTCCGCCATTGCTTCGGACTGACGGCAGAGTTTAATTTCAAGATATGTCGCTCCACTTAACACTCGCTATACATTTTGACCATGCAGCGACACCACCCCTGGTTGGGGGACATCAGCAGAGATGAACAAGTGTCCTTTCTGTCACCGACAAAATTTGGAATCGTCATTTAGACGATTCCAAATGTCACCTGAAGTCAAATCTTTCAGAATCCCTTGAAATATATCTCTAAACACGATAAACCACAATAGCAAAGACAAATTACATGCAATTCAGCGTTACCATCAAACACTCTTTTTTCGGGAGTTTATTTGCACTTCAGTGCCATTTGCGGGCCATTACACCCTGAATCACGGTTGAAACTAATCTAATCAACGAACATACATGGCCTGTTGCCGAAGCGCAAGATAGCTATATAAATATATATATATATATATATATATATATATATATATATATATAGTCACATTTCAGATGACACGCCGGGTCGCCGCCCAGCCGTCGGGCGCAGGGGTGACCTTGGCGGCAGGCCGGGCGTGCGTGGACCCCGGCCCTGGCGGAGACGCAGACACGGCCGGCCAGCAAGGCCGGTGCGACCGGTCGTCACGGTGACGGTCCTCGACGGTCAGCACACTGTAGTTATACTTTACTGTTGAAGTGTTCGCACCAGCCGAGCCGTCGGCGTTACTCTGGCAGGAGTGAGCATACCCTTATCATTGATGGTCTGCCCGATGTTTACGGGGCCACAACGTGGATATTTTGGACGCCAATCGCTTGCTGGACGCCCCTTGGATAAGATCCGAACAACTTACTGCACCGTGTCAGCACACAGCACAAAGCATAGGAATTCATCACAGTAATGCTTAATGGCCTGGGCTTTTCTTGCATGGACTATTTGCTCATTCGATTATGGATTGAAATGAAAACAAAACTCAAAACAAAAAAGTTTATGAAGTGTTGAACACAAGGCGGGATAACACAGAACCAATAACATGCAAAGGATGAGTCCAATTAGAGGTGATTACCTTTGAAAATGTACTGACAGTGACAACGCTGCTTTTAATGACCTGTCACAATTTGGTATTACCAAGTAGCTGAAGTGATATGGAAAGCAGTAAGTGACTATGAATTAGTTCTTATAAAATTAATTGCACATTGCTCATTACACATTTCATTTTGAATTAAGCAAAAATGTTGCTGATGGTGACATTTGAATTCATAAAAACTGTCTCTGAGCACCACTAATATATATATATATATATATATATATATATATATATATATATATATATATATATCAGTATAAGAACCACTTATATGATATTAAGTATAGCTATTATAGGGCCTTGGGATCATCGGCAGGGAATTTTGAGTTCACTTCTGCTCTTGTTTCGATAAATGTATGTTGCCGAAATATCAACCCAACTATTTAACTATATCTCCATTCTCCTGTTTTTTCTCAAAGGAATGAGGTTGATACTACTGTCTTATATATGTGAATAGTGCTCCTTGCTAATGTACTGAACAGTTAACGTAATTTTGGTCATCAGCTCTGACTGAATCTTGAACATTTTGAGATGAACATGGATTAGCCATGTTCATACAAATTTGGGACCCATTTCATCCCAAATCTACGGTCAGGGAGTCCGCATATCTCTGAAGAACACAGAAAAACATGGAATTGGGGTCTATGTGACAATTATTGGACCACCTGCGGCGATCAGGGATCCTTTTGCGTCAATGAGAGTTCCTGTGCTGAACCGAAGCCGATTGCGCGTGTTAGGTCTCCCGTGTCAGGGAGGGGAATAATGTGATATCATATACCCTTTCAATGACCTTCGGATCGGCCAGGAGATCGCGCCCGTGTCGCCAGACTGACAGCCAGAAAACACTTCGCGTAGGGACGGAATGGCCCTTCAGTCATTGGCCGGAAACGATGTTGTGCTCCTGGTGTTCTACTCAAGGGGCTCTTGCCCGGAAGGAAATAAGGGGTCTCATTATTGTTGAATACAGTAGGTCGAAATGAGTTGAAGAAAGAAAACAACAACACCATCCCATGTTTGCCTGAGAACGTTTATTTTTTTCAACTGAAATAGTAATTACATCAAAAGGCTCGACATGTCCGTCCGCAACTTCAAGGGCAAGGACAGCGATGACCTAGGTTGCAGCTTCCGTAAAGCCGAACGGCTTCGGCCACGGCAAGTGCCACCAGACAGCGGGTGTCGTATTCACCTGTCTTCTGGACAGACTAATAGTTACAGAAACACGAGAGATAGCGATTCTTCCTTTGCTCTTCCACTTCCACCACCGGATTCCAGCGCCACTTCGTGGTGCTTTAAGGGCCAGTTCGTTTTTATCACCAGTCTAAAAATCGCACACGTAGAACATAGCCCAGACTGCTATCTTATTGTATGATTTGATATTCTGAAGCGTTCAGAATCACTTCTTTTAAAAGCATCATCATCTTCGTCCACCCGTTTGCCAAGGCGCAGCATTAGCTGCGAGGACGCCGCTTCGCGGCCTGCGGAGACTGCAATGCCTGGCGGCGAGGTTTTGTTACGAAGATTTGCGAGCTCGAATGCTCAAAATTACACCACATAGCTTGTATTAATTATGAATGCAAGTGCTTAAATGTAGTTATTTCAGAAGCGTTATCATTTTCGCTCAACGATGGCCTACAGCTAAAAGCTATCCAACGGGCTAAGGCTCCCTGGATTATGGAGACCGTAACCCCTGGTGTCGAGTCTTGCAGCTACGATTTGCGAGCAGGATGTTGAGAAACCACGGTACATAAATTGCATTACTAATCGATTCTGAGTGAATCTAAAACATTTCCAGACAACCACGGCTTGGCGGTATTTATACAGATACCCAGTTACCCAGCTGCCGTTACCCACTCGATCTGCAATCAAATTTTCATCTTCAAATTTGGATCCAACATATCGATTTATAATTTGCCTTCGTTATGTCCTTAATGTCCGTAGAGTCCAGAAAAAATCTGAATAAGCTTCTGAATTCTATTGGTTTAGAAATAGGTCACTAAACAATTGTGAATTAAGGGCGCCCGTGATTTATTCCGTTCGGACGCTAAACGCCTGATTTCCGTAGGTTCTTGACTTTACAATATAAACAGAACTAATATGACGGTAGCTTCTGGCTTTTGTTCTGGTTGCAACGTTTAAATAACAGCAAAACGAAAAAAGCCGTGGCACTTGTTAACAAGCAAACTATATCCGGGGATTTTTTTTGGGGGGGGGATTACCATAGGAGGGGGTTTGTCAACCCTGTGCTCCCTTTGGCAAGGCTCTGGATACGCCCCTGCCTTCACAGAAAGGCGGACCAAGTCATCTACTCTGAATGATGGGCAATTTATTGTCCGCTGGGCCAATTCATACCTAAGGCAGGCAGCTTCTCAGAGGCTTCTTCCTGCGGTGCTGTGGTGTAAAGGAAGATAATTCGGAAAAAGGTACTGTTTTAGGTGTTCAGCATATGCTTTATAATAATTAGGAGTAATGCTGATCCGGAACCGTGCAAAAAAAAAAAACACACCCATAGCATCAGTTTGCAGTCATGCGGGAGGCAGCCGGGCCAGGGCAGTGGCCGTCGACGGTGGACAGGATCAGGGCCCAGGTAAGGAATATATGACAAGAATGGCCTTTATCCTGTGGCTGGGTTTTTTAACGAGGCGTTCCAGGAGGCCAGGAGGTTCAACGAGGCTTTAGCTTATGGCTCACTTACTTGGCAGCTTCAAGCTTCCGAATTCGTTTCCGTCTAAAAAGCTGCGACAAGTGTCATCTGTTGAAAAGCAGCTAGCGAAATGAAGGCGCATGAAAAATCTGTCGTACTGTGAGCCATCGATTCACTTTCAAAATGCTCACTGGTCTATGTTCAAGCCGTGTTTTGGTATCTGTCTCCTGTGGAGGGAGATGCTTCCTCAATGGCCCAAAATACCTACCAGCTTATGAAATTTCGTCTCCCCAGGAAGCACAATGTTGATATGGATGAAAAATCTCGGGAAGCTGAAAAGCCTTATTTGCCAAATGACATAGATGAGTCGAACAGGCAAGATTGTGCACAGTGAGAACAGCCCTAAATGCATATCTAGCATAGCAGCCATGACATTTGGATAAAGAACGATGACAACCTCCATCTCTACCTCTTCCCCTGGTCACGGGCTTCCTTTCTAGAAAAAAGTTTATGATGTACGTCCTGAGCTTGGCCCCTTCACTTTTTGAAACTTTCCTACGCCTATGTGCCAGGCTGTACCTTAGCTCCTGTCGTGTCCCGTGCATGTTCTAATCTGGATCTTGCTTTTGAAGGTGAGCACAGCTCGAAATGTTGAATACCGTCAAAATAAACGTCATTCAGCGCTACGTCGTCGCTTAATCAGTACTGTCTAGTATATTGAACGTCAATTAACCACCATAAGAGCTCACGATGACGAAAAAACGGGAGCTCTTCTACACACATAGGTGGAACCATGACCCCAGGAGCTTTTTCAGGAGCCCTCCTTTCTGAAGTGAGGTAAACTTCCGTTAAAGTCCTAGCCTAAAAAGCCGGCAGGGCCTGCTACAGCAAAACTATTTCACCTCCCATATGGCAGAGATGTCAGCTATTAGCAATGAGACAATGAGCCTGATCGGCAAACGAAAACCACCAGAACCAAAACCACCGAAAACCACTGGTACATTCACATAAGCCAAGCAGAGCAAAGCGGCGAGGCCATGTCTGTTAGCACTGAGACAATGAGCCCGGTCGGCGAATGAATCTACCAGAGCAAGCTATGCTTGCTCTGGTAGATTCACGGCTACTAAGCAGAGCAAGGCGGTGAGCCCATAACTCAGTGTCCCTTGGAGTCTGGACTAGAGCGGTGTAAATTGTTTGAGCCCGCTTTAAATTCTATGGCAAGATCTAAGCCAAATATTTCTTGAATAGTCCAAGACAGACAGTGAAATAGTGGCATCAAAGTTTTGGTATAGTTAGCAGACCATTCCCAAGAGACCACTGATATCCTCTGTCGTTTTCCTCTTTGTGTATATTGTTAAGGCCGTGATATAACCTGATCCGCGATGCTGACCGTTGACCGAGTTAGTAGCATATGACCACAGAGAGAGAGAGAGATAGAGGAGAGAGAGAGAGAGAGAGAGATAGAGAGAGAGAGAGAGAGAGAGAGAGATAGAGAGAGAGAGAGAGAGAGAGAGAGGAGAGAGAGAGAAGAGAGAGAGAGAGAGAGCGAGAGAGAGAGAGAGAGAGAGAGAGAGGAGAGAGATAGAGAGAGAGAGATAGAGAGAGAGAGAGAGAGAGAGAGAGAGAGAGAGAGAGAGAGAGATAGAGAGAGAGAGAGAGAGAGCGAGAGAGAAGAGAGAGAGAGAGAGAGAGAGAGAGAGAGAGAGAGAGATAGAGAGAATAGAGGAGAGAGAGAGAGGAGAGAGAAGAGAGAGAGAGAGAGAGAGAGAGGAGAGAGAGAGAGAGAGAGAGAGATAGTAGAGAGAGAGAGAGAGCAGAGAGGGAGAGAGAAGAGAGAGAGAGAGAGGCGAAGAGAGAGAGAAGAGAGAGAGAGAAAGAGAGGAGAGGAGAGAGAGAGAAGGAGAGAGAGAGAGAGAGAGAGGAAGAGAGAGAGAGATGAGAGAGAGAGAGAGAGAGAGAGAGAGAGAGAGAGAGATAGAGAGAGAGAGAGGATGAGAAGAGAGAAGAGAGAGAGAGAGAGAGAGAGAGAGAGAGAGAAGAGAGAGGAGAGAGGAGAGGAAGAGAGCAGAGGAGAGAGAGATTTATATATATATGGTGAGTGGCATATGGTGAGTTGTATGGGCATGGTTTGGGTATGACGGTGGGTTTTGCTTACATGGGCGGAACTTTGCTGAGAAAAGCCGAGTACTGCCGCGCAGAAAAATTTAACATTTGTACACAAACGTCGTAAAAATAGAAAATCACCACACGGCCTCCATTGCACTACTGCCAGCAGCTGCTAAACCTTACTTAAATACTTTGCAACCGCTGAAAATCAGCATTGATAAATCAAGTTTACATGCGGTGTATGCACTGGAGCATGTAAAAGATAGTTTTATCTCCAACATGCACTGGAGCTCTCACATGCCAGCATGCGCACTGCAGCAACTGATGCGTGGCGGAAATGTTAACGTGGCGAAACCTCGCTGCTACTGCCGGCGGATCTGCACCTCGACACGAATCCTCCTCCCTCATTCTCCCCTCAACAGACAGCCAGACACGTCACAAGCAGTGAAGCACCAAACACGTCACACAGGCACGGTCCGTGTATTTCGGTGACACGCGCACCTGGCCGGTCGTCGCGCATCAGGCCGCCGGGACGACGCAGATGGCGAGGCTGCCGTATTCCTCGCACACAAAGTCACCCCAGGTGCCGTCCAGGGTGATGTAGGTGCAGTACTCGGCGCCGTAGGCGTCGTCCGGCTGGTCTTCGCCCCAGTTCACGTAGTCCACTTCTGTGCCGTCCATCCAGGCCCAACCATTGCCGGTGAAGTTGGTCAGCCCCAGCCAGGAGGTCGTCTGGCCCTGCCGTGCCCAGACATAACGTAGCTAAGACACACTCGTGGGGGGGTCAGTTTGACCCCGGAGGCTGGTGTTAAATTTTTCTGACATCTGGGTGAAAAATGACACTTTTAATCATTTTTCTTAGTGGTGCCCCATCCTCGCACTGCTTTTTATTGTATGCTCTCCACCACAAACCCAGTCAAATCAATAAACATTTTTTTTGAAGGCACCACTAGCTGTGATTCAGAACTTAACGAACGATTTGGTCTATGGGCTACATTTTCCACCTTTGATATGAACAATGTTTGCATCATGTGATGCATTCAAACTACAATCTGACTTTACATTTCAGGTGACCCTGCAAAAGTGCCAGGGCCCATCATTCATCCTATCCTGCATCCTGCAAAGTGTCATCTACAGGAAATGAAGAAGATGATTCCTAGTCTTTGAAACTATCATAGTGCGCATCCTGCATGTCTCATCGTGGCTGTGTTTGACCTGACCTTGTCTGTGCATCCTCATACAATGCTGAAGCCTAAATGCATACTCTTTTAGTTCATGGCGAATTGAAATGAGCTACATGTCTGCAGAACATGCATTATAGGCTTACATACAAAAACACACTAACACTGAACAATATTTGATGACAACAATGCAGCGAGCATGGACAGATTCCATCACCATGGAATGATACTGGAAGCTGCAATGTACACGTTGTTATCATATCCAACATCATTGAAATGATATTTTACGTCACACGGTCATGGGCGATGGGGACCCAATCACACCACAAGGCTAATGACAGGAGTGTTGGCTATTTTGAGACAATTGCAACCAGTCTAAATGCAATGTATCTTCAAACACCACTCTGATCAGACGCACTGGTCTAGCTCTAATGTGCCCTAGTTCGTCCACTACCCACCGATCTCCAGCCACGTTCAAACCAAGGCAACATACAAAAAAAATGACTCGGGATCGTACTACAAGCGCCAGATTAGCCCCTGACAGTTACATCCCCGCCGGCAGCGAGATGTCGATTGCCGCCCCAGGGATGTCGATTGCCACTCCAGACGCAGCACTCGCTTACGTCTGTCAGCGAGAACGGATGTAGTTCTTAGGCATATGAAACGACATCTTGGAGTCTGGTTATGTAGTCCGAAAAATTTGGGTCAAAGTGATCGTGTTTTTATGTGTGTGTTTTTGTTTCTCGTCACACTATGCATTTTTAGTGGTTACCGGCGTCATTTTTTCAGATGAGTGGGGGCCCGTTTTAAAGCTTCTCTTTGCGGTTTAGATGACTGAAATAAACCAACTTCAGCTGAAATGCCAAAATTTCATCAAAATGATAAATCACGTTGCGTAAAAGCCGTTCAGGTATTTTTGTTTTGTCCTAGCTTTTCTATGTAATTTGTGGATGCACCTGTTTTCCATTCGTCATTGCTGCGCTTAAGTGCCACCAATACCTCCGCCCTAGGTTTTTGGCTATCTGACCGACATTTGTTAAAAAATAGTAATAAAAGAAAGTGCGTTATTTTTTCTACAGGTTTTTTAAATATCAAGCTGTTCTATGTGAGTTCTGAGACACTACGTTGACTACCGTCGTTTTGTCAGAAGAATATGAATCGGAGATGCCGATTCCATAGCAAAATTGTGATTTAACAGCACTGGATGTGACCTGGGAAAACGCGGGGCGCGCGTTGAACGGACGTACAGTTTTGTGTGGAGGGCATGATGGTTGTATAGTGTTTGATTTATGCAAAGTGCACATTGATGGAACAACCACCAAAATTTGCCCATCTGTAGTGTCCTTGCTTAAGTTCTCTAAAGCCTGGTGTTGAGGGATGTATGTTATTTATGTGAAAAATTCACTTAAAGGACGCTTCCAGGCCGCTTATACACAATCAGATCAGGCCCCCCCCCCCCCCCCAGCCTCACAGACCATGGTGCACCATGCACACATATGAACACATACGACACGTGCACTGAGTGCAGGTCAACGCTGTGCTGTGAACCATGTGCATGGATGCCATTCTTTTCAGCTGACCTCAACATAATAGGTATGATGTTTCCTATGCAGTGGTGTAGGCTCACCTGAATCGGTTTCTAACTGTGCCCCCAAACTTTTTAGAAGAACATGGGACATGAAAAACCAATTTGTTAACAATCTTGTGGGTGCATTTTGTTACTTTCACTAAGCAGTCCCCCTCAAACGCATGTCTCAAAATCAGGCCTGCCATATGTACATCAATGTTTTTTGTGCAGCGGAAGCATACACCTTGACTTGAGTGTGATGATGATGATGATTTGGGGTTTTAGGGCGCGTCGACGCTGTAGATCATGCAGCGCACATTGATTTGAGTGTCACATCAAATGAAGGACGTAAAGTTAATTACAATACTATTTTCTTGCTGTCATCAGATAATTTTGGAATAATTCCAAATATTCTTACTCAGGGTGCCAAAGCTAAAGAGTTCAGGCCGCTATAATCCCGAGCAATTTGGTGAAATGTTATGTTGCCCACATGAGCACTGCTGTAATACAACTCAATTAAAGCTGCCGATGTTCCTATTAAAATGAGAGAACTGTTTATAGAATAACTGCAAAACAATGCCTGTAGATAAATACCGACTATTCAGTGCCTGTTTATTTTGTGTAAAACATTTTTACTCGAAGAAAGGGCGTTATCTTGGCCACATGCCGATTATCCAGTGCTCACGAATTTGAGTGAAGCACTGAAACGTGTCGTGTCGTTGAGTATTTCGTGCCTGATAAATGAGTCATAGCATTTTTAACTTGTTTTCCCCTTTTATTCTGTGCCCAAGTTATGCAGGTCATTAGCGAATTGAAAGAGCGATATTATCGTCTAGCAGAAACACACAATGGCGGTTCAGGAGTGTATTTATGTAAATGCGCATCATGACACTTCTTCAAAGATGATCGGGGTTCAGGATCAGGATTCAGGACCAGGATTCCGCCAGTCTCTTTCAGAGGAAGTATCTTAGGCGAAGGTGTTTTGGTGGCGGTCTGGAGAGGAAAGGGGTTCAGGATTAGCGAAAAATGTCTGTCCCTTCGGAATGGCACCTTTGCTGCATATTGGATACTAGACTTTATATATATATATATATATATATATATATATATATATTTGCCTGGGTGGATGGTAATATTACGATATATACATCTTTACAAGTTCAACAAAAAAATACGAACGTCCCTTCGTGTCCTATTTACATGCTATCATTTCAACGGTGAATTTGCTATTTTTTAAGGCTCGTTTTGATACCAGATATCGGCATCATTTTAAGCTTTTTTGCATCCGTACACACTACAAAAATATTTTTTGGAACACTACCGGAGGCTTTTCTGGAATGATTTTGGCACGGTCCGGCGTAGCCGCGCCAAATTTTGCATAGCTGTAGACAATTGAACAAGGCATCTTTGGTATGAAAATTGGTGTGTTCCTTGTAAGGTAAAAGATTAACAAAGGCCCGCTGGTGAAATTTCTCCCCAAATAGACCCACTGGATTTGGCCACCGTTTGACAGAGGTGGAGACCGCAAAATTGTTTGCGTTTTTTATCACATTATGCTAACAGATACTTTCAATAACGGACCGTGCAATATCATAAATTGAGATTTTGTCTTAAGGTTTTAAGATCTTTAATGTCTTACGTAATTTTGTTAAGTATTGAAGTTTTTCTGCTCTTTTGTTTCTTCTTTTGTTCTTTCTCTGTTCTTTTCTACATTGAAACGGTTCTCCTAGACGCAACCTTGGAGACTAGAGCTGGCACTTGGGCCAAGCGAGTACGCTTGTTTTCTTCAGAGAATAGCTCAAACCTGTCATCTGAGTTCAGGATTTAGGAGAAATTTGGCAAATAAGTTAAATTTATTGATTAAATGCTACGATATTCAAACGCGGTAGTTTCTCAAATGGCTAGCTATATTAATGCGCGGCTACGCCGTCTGACAAAGAAAAAAATAGGCCGTTTAACTTACCTTCAGTGAACGGTTGAAACTTTAAACCCTCCACTGTCAGTGTTCGTATTACATGCACAACTTCAGTTCGGGCGGGGCATCTCACTCCGAAAGACCAAGTATCAAAAACTTTCTACCAAAATGACAGCCATCGCGTCATCAGCCACACAGAGCCCGACAAAGACCCACGCCGGCGCTGCCACGGGCTCGAGTCGTCCAGGCAGCCATCGCGTCATTAGCCACGCAAAGCCCGACAATGGCCCCACGCCGGCGCTGCCACGGGCTCGGGTCATGCCCAGGCAGCCATCGCGTCATTAGCCACACAGAGCCCGACAAGGGCCCCACGCCGGCGCTGCCACGAGCTCGAGTCGTCCAGGCAGCCATCGCGTCATTAGCCACACAGAGCCCGACAAAGGCCCCACGCCGGCGCTGCCACGAGCTCGAGTTGTCCAGAAATAAATCGCCTAAAATTCTGAGAGAGGACTTGAAGCTGTGCCGATAACATGTTGCTGCGTTAGCGAGACTCGAATGCCAAGCAATGGACAAACGGATGACGACGTGTCAGCAGTTCACCGACAAACGTAGGCAGCAGCGAGCCCTCCTTGACGATTCCCGATTCAATGGTGGGGTACATTTTTTGCTCCATGGCCAGGCCAACTCAAATATCAGTGTTCACTGGTGTCCATTAAGCCGATAACGTGCTGCTGCGGCCCTGCTTTCCGCGCAGTGCACCGTGCCGGTGGCGATGCCCGGGCAGGGTAGTGCTGGATCACTCCGGCCCGACGGGGATGACGGCTCGCGAATACAGCGAATACACAGCGGTACATCGTTGTCTTGGAATGTTTTGTGGGCGTATGGGAACGGCACTCTCCGTGGGTGTCAATTCCTTAAAAGTTAAAGTGACCAAATGAGAGAGGTGGGAGAAACTTATCGGGTTTTGTTCACCAATATTCTGATTCCCAAAAACAAACCCAAACACACACACACACACACACACACACACACACACACACACACACACACACACACACACACACACACACACACACACACACACACACACACACACACACACACACATACACACACACACACATGCACATACACACACGCACACACACACGCACACGCACACACACACGCACACACACGTGTTTGCGGGTTCACATCATCGCGGCTTGTGAGTGGTTAACGCCAAGCAACTATGCTCAAGGGTTGAATAAATGTCATTATTTGAGCGCTGCTACTTGTATGAAACGCAAAGAGATTCATCAGTTCTGTCGTTGTCGTTGTTTCGGATAAAAAACGGCATCACAAGCATAAATAGTGTTCCCCCCCCCCCCCCCCGGTTTTGCTCTCTACAATTCCACCCACAAGCCCCTTGGCGTAAAACTGAAACGTCCATCACGATAGTTTCGTCCGCTCCGATAGTTTCGTCCATCACGATAGTTTCGTCCGCTCCAATAGCTTCGTCCATCCCGATAGTTCCGCCGGTCGCGATAGTTTCGTCCGTCCCGACAGTTTCGTACGTGCCGACAGTTTCGTCCGTACCGACAGTTTCGTACGTGCCGACAGTTTCGTCCGTCCCGACAGTTTCGTCCGTCCCGACAGTTTCGTACGTGCCGACAGTTTCGTCCGTCCCGACAGTTTCGTACGTGCCGACAGTTTCGTCCGTCCCGACAGTTTCGTCCTTCCCCATGGCTCAGTCGGTTACGTGTGTCTGCCTCCCGGTCCATCCTCCGGTGGCGGGGTGAGTTGGGGTCGCTTCAGGCGCTGGCTATTTCCCCTCGACAGATATGACCTGCGGTCAGTGGCAGCGACCGCGAAAAAGGTCAGATGACGTGAGAGGGCAGAACGGACCGCACTGAGCATTACGGCATGTCAAGTTTTCACCGCCGGATTCTGCCACTAACCTGAAATTGCGTGGTCGGATGGTAGAGGCCAGGACTCGCACAACAAACACTGCTTAGCACGAGCTTTGATCCCAGAAATCCATCCTTTCAAAAGTTTTCGGTAAAATGTTTTTTTTTTAAAGCAGCGCACAAAAACGTCTCAAGACTGCAACAAACCTGCACAGATGCTCGCGGTGACTGTGCGGGCAGGTAGGTACCTAGCACTGCCGGTCCCTCACACAGGTACGGACCGACTATGACTGGCCACGCAAACAAGTACAGACGGAGCGTGCCGGAATAAAGGTAGGTACGGACCGAGCCCGGCCGGCCCGCACACAGGGAGCAAACAGGGAGAACGCAATAGGTACGCAGATGTAATAGGTCTAGTAGGGACGCAGACGCAATAGGTCTAGGTAGGGATGTAAACGCAATAGGTCCAGGCCGGGACGCAAACGCAGTAGGTCCAGGCAGGGACGCAAACGCAATAGATCTAGCTAGGGGCGTAGACACAATGGATCTAGGTAAGTAGGAAGGAGTTCTTCCAATACAAAAAAGTAGCATGCCTTATCTAGTTTCCCACGAGGCGAAAGCTTTCCTGCGTACATCAGCGCTTGTCCGGTAAAAATTACACGAATCAGTTCGTAAAGAGAGGTATGCAGCACCCTCGACTGCGTACCTCACTCGCCGGCAATGTATCTGGCGAGTACAGCAGCGGATAAAGATGGAGACGATATATCAGCATCACGGATGGAATAATTGTTCAAATTACGGTCAAAGTCTGGCGTGTTAGTACGCTGTATGTACACCACATGTTTTGGCCAGTTGACACGCACCCGGGTGACCGGCTGAAAACCTTTCGCTTCGGTTGGGTGAGCTTAACCCGCTGGAGGGCTAGAGACACCAAATTCTCAGGGTGGTTTGGCCCGTATGTTAACACGCGCCCAGGTGGCCGGCTAGATACCCTTCGCTCGGGTAAGGGGGTCAGTTTGAACCCCCCCCCCCCCACTAAGAGATCTCGGGAACTAAGAAAGCTAGAGACACCAAATTTACAGAGTATGTTGACCTGTACGTGTTCTCACTTAGGCCAAATTTTCAGGTTTCTAGGTCATATATGTTGGGTCAAATAAGGTCAAACAAGGTCAAACTCCAGGTTGGTCTCCAAAGTGCCCCCAGAACCTAGATAACTGCTTCTAAGTAAAAGATAACATGTTCATTTAAGGTCAGTGACCCTGTTTGACCTTTTTAAGGTCACGGTTACCAAACTTACACAAGACTGCTCTGAGTTGTGCTATGAATAGATTATTTTCCACTGAATAGATCGATATCTTCCGATGAATAGATCCCATCCATTTAAATCAATCCAGAATCGATCAGATCAATCCTAGAATCAGAGGTCTCGCTAAACACTCGTTGTGGCGTGAGTCGTGGCCCCGACCAGTCGACCGTAAAGTTTCAGGATAATAACAGAATTTGGTCGCGAAAGTTGGACGCGCCGGGCTGTTGGAGATGGGTCGCCCTGCTTGTGGGACGTCATCTTCCCTTTATTGCAGCCGCTCCCACCAGCCGCAAGTCATACTAGTCAATAACAAATAGTGAAGGCCTAAAGCGACTCTAACCTTTGACTATCTTTCATTATTTATTATTTTAATCCGCTGTTTGCCCTTGACAGGCACGGCCTGCTGCCGGCGGCAGCCGTCGCGGTAAAGGTCAGTTGACGTCAGGGGCAGGACGAACCGTGCCGAGCATTGCGGCACGTTAAGCCTCGCCACTAAGCCCTGCCGTTGCCTGGAATTGCGCGATCGGATGGTGGGGGTCAGGGCTCACACAACAAGCAGTGCTTAGGTGGGTCAATAGCTCAGGGCGGGATGGCTGAACGGGCGGGATAGCTCAGGGCGGGATAGATGCACGGGCGGGATAGCTCAGTTGGTTACAGGCACTAACTGTAACCAACTGAGCTACCGGCGTGGACGGAATAGCACCTGTTTATCGCTTCTGCATTCTTTTCATCTCCGACAAAACGTGACAATGACCGATCCCAGTATCCTAAAAACGACATTGCTGCCGTCATTTGTTTTACGACACACTCGGCTCCTGAGGTTATATGACGTCACCTGCTTTACGACGCACTCGGCTTCTGAGGTTATATGACGTCACCTGCTTTACGCCGGGCAGGAAGGGCGGGCGCCGCGGTAAAACAAATAGAGGTAATGTATGCTGCATTTGTAAGTGGTTCTTGTATACAGACACAACATATTTTGAAGGAATGCCTTGAGGGATAATCACATCGTCTTGACAAAAAGCATCAAGGTGTATCAGGTAAGCAGTCATTTCTTCCAATGTATATTACACGATACACATACCTGGCTTGATTTTTTATGCTGACTGCACAAATGGAAATATAATGGTTATAACGAATGGTATAATCGTTCCCGTAACGTGCTTTATCCAGCAGAATGTTGTACACACGATCAAACGCGGCTGCCTCTCCAGATATATTTGGCCTACTGGACCCCGCGGGTTGCTTTCGTAGCTTGTTTTCCCACTATCATCACGCACGACCACTGGCGTTCCGATAGAAAGAACAGAAGTGAACCGCCCGCATGGTTCGCAGTCGGAGCAACCTACTGCAACACGCAAATGCTTCCGACGCCATACCTAATCTGACCACCGAGATCTGTCAGAAGTCCTCAGCGCCGCCCAGACTGCAACTTTATTTTGTCTGCTACATTAGATGAACTTTGCAATCTTTCCTTAATAAAACTGTGCCCTTGTCGTATCGCTGACACGCATGGTTTCTGGATTAAAATAATTTTTACACACTTTTGGGTGATATCCAAAACTCTCAAGTGTGTTCGTTTTCCTTGTCGTTGAAATGAAGTCTTAAGCGCTTACGATCACGCCAGCAAGGTCATGGTTGTCCCGCGCTTACGACCACGCAAGCAAGGTCATGGTTGTCCCGTGCAACCTAACTGAACCCCAAATGCGCCTTCCCAGCAAACGGACGCTCCATATATCGCTCGGTTCGGTGCTTCCCGTCTTCCATATTGGCCCAATATTTGAGTGATTATGCGTGACGTATGTAAAATGCACGTATATTCGATGATGCTGGCGTTCTAACGGGGACAAAATAGGCAGCTGAAGATGAGTCACCCGTCTGCTCCGAGCACAGGTTATGCAGCCTTGTACGGATGCTGCTGTAGACTGTTTTTCATGCCCTCTCGGCGTTTCCAGCGAGCAGAGCATCTGCCAGCCAATGCACGCGGGACAGGGTGCGGGATCGAGGCACTACACGCGCGCGCTGTTGGTGTCTGACTGGCGTGACCTGCGGCCGGAGCAGCTGCTGCTTAAGCTCAGATGAAGTGAGAGGGTGTGGCGGACCTTGCCGAGTGCTGTGCCGAACTTTTACCGCAAATTCTGCGGTTCAACCGGAACTTCGCGATCACCTGGTGGGGTCAGGTTTTCACAACAAGCACTGTATCCAACTCTGATCTCGAAAACCCCCTAGCTATGCTTGCAATGAGGGCTCAAAGCGTTCAAGTATGAGACGCCGATGGGGAAGTTTGCCGGCCAGCCGCCGCTGCGACTCCGAAAAACGAAGAATGGCGCCAAAACGGTCTCACGTGCAAAGAATAGCGCCAAAACAGTCTCACGTGCAAAGCGCGCAGCGATCAGTCGTGCCGAATCTGTGCCCACACAGAAATGGTTGAGCGTGGAACAATATCAGTCTCGCAGTTTGTTCTTCTAAGCCTATAAATATTTTGCAGGCAGCAAGACAAGATACATGCTCACGGACGGAGACCATTATGCTCTAATCATATGGACAATGGTGGTGACTTGTCACACGTTTCGGCAGCATTCTGAATGTAGCGAAATTGACGGAGTCAGCGATGAGTTGGAAGCAACGCATGTAGGGACTGAAAATCAATATCAAACTCACGCCCCACCTGCATGATTTCGATGGCGCCGTTCTCGGCATCATTGTGGATACTGGGCAGATGCGAACCGGGCTGAATCGTCCTGCAGGCCTTGGCCGCGTCACTCCAGCTCATCGTCTGAAACGGCGGCACCAGCAGCGGCAGGTAGCACCGGCCGCCGAAGGGCATCCAGCTCTCGTTCGGGCAGCCGTCGGTATCAGCGTCGGCAACTACCGAGAGCAGTAGCAGCAGCGGCAGCAGCAGCAGCGGCAACAGCAGCGTCGGTGGCGGCGGCGGCGACATGGCGACGGGCTGCAGACTGGCTAGCCCGCGAGCGGTGACGCTATTTGAGTGGGGAAGGGTTGGGAGCGCCGCACCTGGCCGGCTGAACGGCCCATGTGCGCCGTGCAACTCAGCTGGCGCCGCTCTCAGAAGAGCTCTGCAGACTCCCAGCAGGGCAGGCGGAGCTGGGCGCCGCCGTCGCCCAGTGCTGGCTCATCGTACAAGCAGCCGCCGTCTGGCCAAGTTCAAACAGAAGGTCTTGCGCGTGCACCATTACTAAGTGGTGATGATGCTTTGGTGTTCAAGGGCGTGGCGGTATCGACATTGCTTTTTCCACGACGCTATTATTGAGCAAGTTTCTACGCGACTCATTCGGCCATTTCAACCGTGCCATATTGTAACACACGCGAAAAGAAAACGTCAGCGGTGTTTTTAAAACAGTTAACATGTGCTCCCAGCCCCTCTCACAGGGTGCTTATCCCAGCCACGCACGATGCTTCCGCTCAAGGACGAAGGGAATACATGTTAAATTTGCTTGGTCCTGCAAGGGCTGTTATGTCGCGGATTTCCTGGTATGTGTCAAAACTTGGGTTTATTTAAAGCACTTCCCATCCTTAGTGCATTATTTTCTGGGACTTGCACAATCCATCAGATTTTATTGCTCCCCGCCCAAAACAATGTTTTTGCCCCTTATGTGGCCCTCGCTCTGAGGACTCCACGGAATTTTCAGGTTTGTGCACCAGAACTTCACAATTTAACACCAGAAGGGCGAATTTTTTGCCAATCATGCATGGAGCCAGGTGTTTTACTTTGCATGCTGTTTTGCTTTGCATGCTGATTTTCCTTTCTCCCGCAAAGCTGACAAGTTGGGTTAATCGTACGGTACTCTCCCTTCTGCTCTTAGAACGTGGCACCCCTTCACTGAGCTAAAGAAAATAGTGCGTCGCAAAAACAACGTCAGCTCTTGACATGCCAAACGAGAATCACTCAATTTGATACGACAACCGAGTGTTGGGCGATGCCATATTTATTCGAGACAGTTTCTTGGACAAAAGAACAGCTAAATTTGGGCTCACAACGAATTTCAATGAACTAGGGTCAGGTACGAAGGCTAGGCCGAGATCTAAATAAACCTGCGTTCTTACCCGTAAGGTCGCTCTGTGGGGTAGTTTCTGGTGCTCATTTCGAATATGTTAACATCAGGGATCTCAGCGGACATCTTCAAAGGAGTATTAAAAGTCAGAGTAGATCGATTACCTAAAAGAACGAAGGCCAACATTATTTTCCAGGAATAAAACGCCCAGCGTAATCGTTGGCACTGATTCAAATGCAAAAATCAAAACAATGTAATAGGATTTTGGATCACTACAACCGTCTAAGGGTCAAACAAGGTAACGAATCTTAAATGAACACCAGTGATCATTCGTTTAGAACAGGTACCTATGTCTGAGGCAGTTGCATGAGGAGGTCTTGGGGCACTTTGGACACTTATCTAGAGCATGAACTTGCTTGACCTTATATCACCCGAAGGTCATTGCCTAGAAACCTCAAATTTAGATACAGATGAGTTCACATGCATGCCAAGCTGCCCTGCCTGGGGCCTGTATTTCTGGACTGGCGCGAGAGAAAGTCGACAACGGTCAGTGGTCGGTAGCATTGGCGCCCCCCCCCCCCCCCCCGGCCGGTATGGGGGGGAGGGCTAGGGAGTGCGGGGGCTGGCCGACCGGGAGCGCTGTGTCGCGCCTCGCCGGTCAGCCCGGCCAAGACTATGCAGCCCACCCGGGTATGCTGTATAACGGGAGTGAACGGGTGCGTAAGGGCTAAGCCTAGGGCAAACACTGTATAGCGAGGGCACGCTGGTGTTTATGAGCCATGTGCGGGTGTTTAGCAAGTTTCTTCTTTTCTAGCGATTGTGTCCGATGTGAAATAGAATGATAATGCCGAAAATCAATGTTTTAAACCAACTGAAGTTGTTGTTGAATTGGGAAACGGAGGTTTTGTGTTTCGAAACGCAAAGTAATCGAATAATGATGCCAGTACTTCAACTTCACTTTATGTTGTCACTGAGAACATTGCACTGGGCCTGCGTGATACGTTTTCCAATGTAAACATGTGCAACGGATGTAATGTTTTGCGCAGCGCACTTTCGTCATTGCGGCATTTTTAGGTTAACCGACGGAAAACAACCGGCCGCGGGGGCCTAAAAGTTTTGGAAATTGTGAGCAGAGCCCAATATTACACTGTTGATCATGTTTTCTCCAAATCTGAAGCGCTGATGTCTAAACTTATACTTGAAATGAATTATTTGGCGCATAATAACCATTTAAAGGGAATGTCCTACATTCGAATATATCGAAGTAGGGACCGGATATTATGAACTATGCTCACCTACAACTATTGGTATGCTTTTATGCTTTTAAGTGGGGAATACTGCTATAGACAACGCAATTTCTCTGTTTAGCTGACATGCTCCTCGACACCTCATTCTTTGATTACGTCATCGCACCTCGCACAACATTGAGAGCCAATTGACGGCCGCTATATCAGGAAATCGTGCTTACGAACGCAAGACATGAACGACACAACGATTATATTTTTATTGGCTGTGACCGCCGTGTGGCTAATGGCATGACAGGATTTGAATGACATTATTATGGCGTCATGGATTCCTGGGTGACCTTGAAATAGTCTCCCCGAGGTAGTCTGCATACCTTCGCGGCCCGTGTGGCTCAGAAACTAGCAGGGTTTAGCTTCTTAAGAAAGGCAGGGTTGTGAATTGCACCGACTAATCTTCAACATGACTATTTCGTATCAAAGCCCCGGGCAAATGCTTCATTTGCGTCGGGTCTTGAAATGGGGTGTTAACCGAAAACACCATTTCAAAACTCTCTTTAAATAAAAGCTGCATAGCAGTGACGTTATCATTAGCTGACCAACGTGTGTGCAATGCGTAGCTGCCTCGTTTAGAGGTAAACGTGGCTTCGAGAAGTTGCGCGGTATTCACCTGCAGTATTATCAACGGCTTTTGGAGTGAACACTTGTGAAGTTATTGAGGCCTGAAAAGATTTAGATGTAACTGACATATATTTTGGAACAATTCCTGGATTCCCGTCTCAGTTCATAATGGCATCCTGCGCACGCGCGGTCAGATGTGCGGCTCCTAAATGACAGAGGTGGCCGAAAGGAACGGGGTGAAACAGGACTGGACCAGACCGGACCGGACCGGCAGGAACCTAAGCAGGGGTGGATCCAGAAAGGGGCCGCAGGGTCACGGTCCCATCTTGGGTCCCAAAGGGTCCATTAGCTCCGAACGGGCCCATGGCCCGCCGGGCAGGTGCAGTTTTCTTAATACAAAGCGCAACAAAACTGGACATAATCTGAATTGCCCAGGCGATGAAAACCAGCTGCAAGCAAAAGTGAAGGGCCCGCGGGGAAACAAAACAGAATCTTGATTGATTGAAAGCGTTACTGGAAGTTTCAAGCCTCATTACGCTGTCCCTATGACCCTATGCTGTTTTCGGAGGACCTATTTGTTCAGCTGCAGGGTCATTCCGACCGTTAAGGAGCTTTCCACGTCGCCCTTGATTTCTTTGCATTTGCTCGGAGGGCCCTGCACTGTCGCAGGACCCTTCCTGCTAGCGGACCGGGACGCTCTTGTCAATCGGGGCCCTTCCACGGGTTCTTTCCATTTGTCAGAAAGGCTCTGGGGGCTATAGCCCATGTGCCCTCCAAGGTCTTTGTCACTTGCTAAGGGACCTACACTCTTGTCGGGGGCCCATCTGTTAACCTGCCTGGGCACACTTGGCCGTTCGAGACGCTTCAAATTGGGTATTGCGTACTTTTTATTTGAGTGGAGGGCCCCACACACTTGTCGGGACCCCATCTGTTAACCTGCTCGTGCACACTGGCTCCCACACCGGGTCTTGGGTGCTTTTCATTTGAATGGGGCCCTAGCTCATTTCGGGGGGGGGCATACGTTAACCTGCTCCGGTACATTCGATCGTTCGCCCCCCCCCCCCCCTCCCACCCCCTCTGTTTGCCTTCTTGGTCACACTCGATTGTTCGGGGCCCTACACATTGGGTTTTGGTGTTTGAATTTAGGGCCCTACGCTCCTATCGAGGCACTGTGATAACCTGCTCGGGTACACTCCATTCTTTCGGGACCTCCGCACTGGGTTTTGGGTATTCCGTATTTGCGTGGAAGGCGTGCGTTCTTGTCGGGGGCCCCATCTGTTAACCTGGTGGGGCACACTCGATTGTTTCGGGGACCCTTCACATTGTGTCTTGGGTACTTCCAATTTGAATGAAGGGCCCTCCGTACTTGCAGGAGGTCCTATCCGTTCACCTCCTCGGTTACAGTAGATTGTTCGGGGGCCTATATGTTGGGTCTCAGTTTTTGAATTATCGGTCATTTATTCCTGTCGGGGGCTATTTGATTATCTGCTCGGGTATGCTCCATCTTTTGGGGACTCCCGCACTGGGCTCTTGGTACTTCTTATTTGAATGGAGGGCCCATGTTCTCGTCGGGCCCTCACCGATGAACTGCTCGGGCAAATGCCATCGTTCGGTGGTCATTTGAATTAGGTCCTGGGTGCTTCCCATTTGAATGGGAGACCCAGGCTCTTGACGGGAACCCCATATCCTAACTTGCTCGGGCGCCCTCAATCATTCCGGGGCCCAGCATGCTGTGCCTTGGGTACTTCTTATTTGAATGCGTGGTACTTTTTATTTAAATGCTATATGTTCTTGGCGGGCCCTATCCGTTAAGTTCGTCGAGCCGGCGGGAGATGCAGAGGAGGGGCGGGGGAGGGCAAGCACGGGCCATACCGCCATGGACCATGCCGAGGGGCCCATAGGCTCCGAAGGGGCCATAACCTGTTGAACGGACGCAATTTTCTAATAAAACAAAAACATAGCAAAATTATACTTCTTCTTCTTTGAGCCTACAGGCGACTGAGAGCGGCTGCTCGCAAAAGTAAAAGTTGATAAGCAGGCAAAGCGTATTCTTCGCTGATGAAGAA